GGACGAACGGTTGTCTATTTATAGCGTATCAAAAGTTTGATTACCGTCCTGATAAGACCGTATAGGTCGCAGCGAGTACAAATATTAATAGAATTAATTGGTTCAATAATTTAAGGAGGCAATTTTTTTTTTTTTTTTTTTTCTTTTGTGTACAACGTTATTTAAATTTAAATTAATGGCCGTACTCATTACTGTTGTGTTTTACTATAGCTATAGTTTTCTCGATTTCACTTATTGAACTCTTCTATGCGCGTGCGGCGGGCGTAGAGCGAACAGACGTTTAAATAATACATATTAACCCTATTTATTATTAATACAGAGATAATTATAAAGTAAATTCCAATTAATGAACAAAAAAATGTGAATACCTATACGAATTTACCGTTTCGTCGTATAGTATACGTACCGATAATAGATCTTCCGTTCAACATCCACCATTGACGAGACTTGCCCGTCGTGCGTTATTATTCTCGATCGATTTGAGAAATTGCCATTTCGCTCGACTCCTATAATATACCGCGACATATATTAAAGAAACAAAAGTCGAGAAGGCCGAGTGCATAAAGTTGTACAATTTATACCTGCACGCAACGATAATAAATCGTTACTGACGAAATACGATTCTGAAGTTCGGTTAAACGTGTTTTGAAATTTGGTAATGTTTATGATTTTCATCACGGTTTAAATTTATCACGCTTATATACATAATATAAAAAAAAAAAATAACTACTATATTACGCTAAACTTTGTGTTTGTGCGCAACTTTTCCACCTGAGACCTTGTTCGATTAAAAAGATGCCAAAAAGCGTCTCCCTTTTTTTTTTTTTTTAACATGGTTATTCTATTGATTTTTTTTTTTGGTATTTGGTTGATAATAAATTGAGAATATTGACATTCACATTTTTTCATCTACTCATCTATATCTACTCATACTGGTTTTTTGTATACATTCTGGCGGTTATTGATTCATTTATTGACGATGGATATTATCGTGGTGTTTTTTAGTTTTTAATTGATTTTATAAAGATAAAATTGTTTTGGAGTAGTCCTATAAAATTATACACGAGGTTTGTACCAAATGATCGCAAAAAAAAACAAACCTTAATATTGTAATTTTTTTCATAAGCTCCTTTTGTGTCCACTTTTTTTACGAAAATTTTAATAACTATTCGCTCAGAACCGTATTAGAGTAATGATTTACTGTCGCGTATAGTTTTACAATAAATAATTACGTATATACATCCTATCTTCCCAACTTCTCATCTACAATAATCGTGTTACAACTATCACCAGTATCATTTTTTTAAATATATATATTATATAGTTGGAATCCACTACGTGTTTGTAGCGTTCGTTTGTTTGGCATTTAGAATACATTTATACTTACAGCATTCGTTATAATTGTTATGTGAAAAATAAATTTTAAAAGGGGGCGGGAGAGTGGCAATGCTATCATATGTTATATTATGCATATAAATTATAATAAAACGCGGCTGGAAAACGCCTCGCATATACAGACGCCGGAGACGCGTTAAGAACTTATAAGACGTCATAAAAAGGGGATGATGAAAATTTCATCGCAATTATAAGTAATTTGTTATCAAGACCGTATTCGCATGCATGCATTAATTATGCAAACACTCGTCGCGCAGAATTTCTGTATATTAAAAAATCAATTCCTCGGCCATAGGACACGATTCGCTCTTCGTCGTTAACTTGTATATTATAATATTCGATTGTGTCTTCATCTGTGTTGTGGATTTCACACCGTTAGGATCAAGGCCGTTCTTAGGATTAGCGAGGCCCAGGGCAAAAATACTTGTAACACCATTTAGGTATTTTATCTATCTATAATCCTATAAAGACATCGATAATTCTTATCACACAAATTATTTGGTAAGTATGTCACTAATTATAATTTAAATTTTTTTTTTTTTTTATATAAAATATAATCTAGATAAAGAAAATAAAATAATTTTACAATAGACTCAATTAACATGTTTTTCTTTATTTACTCATCTAATATCTATAATTCATTAATCGTCACCTTCATTTATACAAATTTACATTTTAATAAAATAAACAGACAAATTAAAATACTATAAAAAAACATTTTATTACCATCAATGTTTTTCCGACGGTGACAACCGACCGCCACGGCTGATATGTTACGATTACGATAATGTTATTATTGGATATTTCAATTTTTTTTTACGTTAAACGTAATTTAAAGGGGAAAATCGGGTAAATACATCGTTACTTTGATAAAATTGTTGATATTAAATAATTATAAAAAACATACAATTTAAATGCTACGAAAATAAAACAATTTTTGAAACTAATTTTACTACTATTTTCAAACGCGAAAGCAAAAATTTAAGCAAATAGCGCGAGGCCAGGGCCTGGGCCCTGCTCGCCCAGCCCCCCCTAAGGACGGCCCTGGTTAGGATGCTCTAGATTTCGAGATATCAAACAAAGAAGTTTTATGAAGAATTATGGAAGAAATACAATCTCAGAAAATTATAAAAAAAAATTTGAAGGGGCCATATAGAAGAAACTAACCAAGGATGGAGACATCACATATTATCTTCGGTTCCAGGGGAGAAGGGCACACGTCGTTTTTGTATGGTTTTTAAAACAGGAAAATTGAATTTTAAAAGTGCACATATACTCATATTATACTAAAAATTATAGTAGTAAAAAAATTATAAAAAAAAATATTGACTTAAGCTCTTCTTCCCTGTGAATAAAGACATATCACAATGGAAAGTCATACTGAGTTTTGTGAAAAGATTCACTATATAGAATCGAGGCCACCGATTGGAAGATTGAAGCCATGTTACTGTATGTCTTCTACTGAAGAAAAAACGAATTTTATAATAACAATAATAATAAAAAAAAATTAATAAATAACGGAGAACGAAGTTCTGAATGAAATTCAGCTAAACGAACGTTTCGAAATGCCTCGATTTTTATTTGAATTTCAACTTAAAACGTTCATTAAAAAATAAAAAAAATTACTGATGAGACGCACCTCGCTTGTTAAATTTTCGAGCATTTTCACCGGGCCAAAACTGCAATTTTATCCACGTGGAACTTAGAGAAAGAAAAAATCGTACGAAAGTCATAATTTACAATAAGGTATATACTGTAGTATAATGCGCAAACCGACAATTTTCTCGAATAGCGAATTAAATAGTTCAATTAAAAAAAAAAATTGTAATAATTATAATTACCAACTGACGTACATACTACGATACCGAGAGTTCAACAAACGTTTATTTATTCTAATTAATGCGACACAATTTTGCAATAATTAATTATTACTATTATTATGTTTTTCTCATATCATTTAATATCTCCGAACGAAACATTGATTAAAAAAAAAAAAAAAAACCACATCCGTTAGGTATATTATATTATATTATATTATTACGTTTTCTCAGTCTATGAGAAGATTTCCGCTACTGTTTTTTCAGCGGTGTAGCGTTTTTACAACGGAACTTTTTATATAGTAATGCGTATATTAATTATTATTTTTCTAAGCCGACGTCCGGGTTTTTTTCGAACATTTTTTTTTCTTCGTTAGTCATAATCGTGAGAAAATCGCCGTTTGATCGTAGAAAAAAACAATTTCCTATAGGTATTAATTCTTTGGTCCCCGGCGAGAATGGCTTCTGTCAATGTTGTATATAGTTTTCGATACGAATAAATTAAACTTTGTAAATTGCTAAATACAACTTTCTAAATGACTCAAATCATATAATCATATGGTACTTATGCCTTTTCGTCAGAGAAAGTAAAAAGCTATAGGAAATATTTTCAGTATAGTATAGTATATATATATATATCAAAAATACGTCTGCAGTCTGTACAATTTAGACAAAAAAAAAGAAAATGGAAAAATAGAATTAGACAACATTATTGAACAAAAAAAGACCTACTTCGATAAAAGGGTGGGCCACTGTTGAAGGCGAGAATTTAGGAAGTTAGGATATAGAGGAATTAATATATTATTATACATATAATATGTATGTACGCAACGGTTAAAAAATCGCTAACACAAGACGATTCTGAATGGAGTTTGGCTATACATGTTATACAGGCTGTAATATTTACTATTTTGGTCAAAATTTAATATTAAAATTCTTGTAATAAAAAGTAATTCTACATTTTACTCAATTTTTTTTTTTTTTAACCTCAAAGTACGACTTATATTGAACCTCCTATTAAATTGTCAAACATTCTCGTTTGGTCTAAAAATGTTATCCACAGACCTATGAAATAAAAATTACTTAAAAACTCACAAAATTAAAATGTCTATAAATAGCTCAAAAATGACTCAAATGTTTTAAACATTTTACCACGTCTATAAAAGCCAATATATCTGTCCGAGTTTTAAGTTTCTAGGGATGTTTTTAACTGATATACAACAAATAAACAAAATTGAAAATAATAGAAACATTATTTTCGTAAATTTCCCCAGTTTTTTTTCCAATTATTACGAAAACCGCTTGGAAAATTAAAATATGACCTCCCGTAAGTACTAACAAGAAAAAATTTCCTTTTAGAAAAGGTGCTACACTTTTTGTACACTTGAAATTTTGTACACGATAAAAAGAATTAGAATAAACATCATTGTGAAATTAATACATTCCTCGCTTTGCTCAAAATCTAGAATTTCAAAAAAAAAACGGACTTATTCTTCTCTGGAATCAAAGGAGTATACCGTAATCATGTGACTTGTTCCCCCTGTCGATATGCAAGCGCTTGCGTAAAACAGCCATGGAAACATTGTTTCGCTGCAGTACTTTTTTTTCATAATTCCGTATACACATAGAGCGAGAGGGGGAGGGGTAGAAAAAAGAAAACAAACATTAATTACACACATATTGAATGCGGTTGAACTCAATATACGTACACACACTGCGCGTTTATAATTATTATCGATTATGCATTGTGTCAACCGGCTGGTTGCTGTTTTACTGCCGCTGCTGTTGCTCCATTTAAGTGTGACGAACAGCTACGGCGGCGTTAAACGCACACGCGCGCGCGCACACTCACACACACACACACACACACACACACACACACACACACACACACACACACACACATTATATTATTAAATATAAAATATTTTCCGATTTTTTTTTTTAAAAAAAAAAAGATATTATTTTCCTCAACACTTGTTTATGTTTTTGTACTCGATTGGATAGCGCGTACTGCACACGCTTTATTTTCTTATCGTTTTTCAACAACGTCATCGTCAACGGTTTGTTCGTTTGATACGCTTATATTGTATAGGTATATGGAAAACAATCGATTCGTATACACTAACCGGCAATATTGCATAGTCTTCATATCCGGATTGGAGTCGGAAGAGTCTGTATCCATATGTCCTTAGACGGATTTCTAGTTTTTTTTTTTCGTCTGTGTATGCATGTATAATAATAATAAAAAATAACGCGTCTACCAGAAACGTTGCTCCAATAAAAAAAACATAGGTAATTTGTTTGGTTTTCCGTTTGGATGGATAATGTGTTGGATATTGTCAATAGGCAAAAACTGAAAATTGTTGCTGATTTACCTTGATAAAAATCGAAAAATACGCGAACAATATAAAACTCTAACTCAGAATCAATCGTTAACAATAATTTATGGATATAGTATATATCCTCCCCTCCGTCCTTCTTTCTAAAACATAATTAATTGTATATCCATCAGCTGTAACAGTTTTTTTTTTTTTTTTAATTTAAATCAAAACGAATGTTTACAGTGTATTAAAGCATTGTCAAGACCTCTGTAATATTTTATTTTTGTGGTATTATAATACTAAACAACGGGTTTGAAAAATTTAAATCGTGACACAGTTTTTACGATTATTACGATATGGTCCGTTGTCCTTTATCCGGCTGTGATGACCTGCAGCATCATTATACTGAAATTGGTAATTACTATTCACGACATTCTGCGACTACGTGATTTTCCCAAACTTGTATACGTACTATATTTTACGATACTAAAAAATATATGATTCAATTAAAAATAATATAATTTAAAAAAAAAATAATAATAATAAACATTGGCCAGAGCCCAAAATTTGTAAAAATATTTCCGTATCGATATTATTGTATATTATTTGTTTTCGTGCATAAAACTTTATAGATTCGTATGTTCTTTGTGTCTCTAATATGCATCTTTTAACCGCGATTTCAGGCCGTTCGCGAAAACGAATTTGGCTTCGAATAATGTTTTATTCTAAACGTTTACAAATCATATTATCCGATTTGATGAGCTCTGCGGTACTTTTCGTAGGATTTCATCTCGATCCAATCGAGACACAATACCGCGGAACGTTACATCATCCTCTGTGGCAATAGACTGAAATAATTATCGTACCGAATACCCGAAGCGAACAGTCGCCGAATGTTTTGAACTATCATTTCTCTCATTTTATTGCATGTTCGTCAACAGTCTATACAGTCAACAGATAATATATTCGTCGCCGAAATCTTCCGATCCGGTCCGACCCCTCAATAATCCCGTTCGCGGACATTTCTCGCAAAGGTATTGTTCCGGCGACCCTGCTGTCCGTCGTAGCAATATCGGCGCGTCAATATGCAGCCCGTCGAGGTTTTCCGTTTCCGGCGGTCTCGGTAATCGTTCGTCATAGGCGCGTTTGTCGTTTTCAATTACGCGTCCGACGGCGAGAACATTTTAATGTATACATTATTCATAAGTGCGTGATGAGAGGAGGTCATGTGTATACAATTTATATAAATGCTCTTTCCGCACAACCCGGCGTTATGTACTTATACGCACAATAAGGACGAGTGTTTATGTAAAATTTTATTTCCAGTACCTGTGCCCAGTGTTTACACACACGCACGCACACATATATATAATATCGTTAAGTTTCGATTAAGTTATTACGCGTCGTCGTAATGCAATTGCATTTTAATTTAATTTCGCTCCACAAGCGCGCGCGCGCGCGCGAGATTGATTAACAACGACAGTTTTATTTCCTCGCAGGCTTACGTGTATCGCGCCGGTGCTAGCATTTCTCCCCCCCTCCCTCCCCTCCTTTCCAGACCATTGACTTTGACTGTTTCGTATTATACTGTATACTGCACTATATACACGCGTATGCACGTTATATTCGAAACAAAGTCTGACCTGCGGTATACACAATATTATCTCGCGTGATGACCTAGGTAATTGGGCGTGTATACTTATAGTTGTATTGAAATCAGTTTCAATAAAACTTTTTTTTTTTTTTTTCTTACTTTCCGTAAAAGTTTCGTTAATTATTATCGCGCCGTATCATTTTATAGTAATAATAATAATAACATTATTATTTAAATAAAAAATGAATGGCGTTCGTGTTAATGAAAAATAAATATAAAGTCTCGCGGTTATCGCGCTTGCCGATTATGAAATCGATTAGGTAGGTATATCGTACGTATTATTATGTTATGGGCGGGTTTGAAATTTATCGGACCGGATTTTTCTTTTTTTTTTCCTTTTTAGATTCCGAGTGAAAAGCGACTATACCGTATTGGTTTTACCACGACGTGAACTTTTTTCGTAGAATTTTCTATCTAGTTTTGTACGTCGAGAAGAAGGAGGGGGAGGGTTATTTTTTGATTCTATACCTAGGAAAAACTGGAAATTGTTCCGTAATTATTGTTGATTTCTGCGTTAATCTGAATGCAATGGACAAAATAATGCCAATGTTCTCGCGATAGTTTTATCGTTGCGTGTAGATATACATTAAGTAACAGTCTTATTATTTTTTTTTAATTCTGAGTGTAACGAAAAATAGATAATAATTTACTGAGTTAGTGGTTCTAGGACGTGTGACGGTTTATTTTTCTCGGAAAACATTTCCTGTCGGTAAAAAATGTTCCAAATCGTTTATGTCGTACCTTTTACTGACGCGTTTTTCTACAATTTCTCAATTTCGATTTTTGTTGATTTCTAGGCTAAACCGATTTTTCGGGGCGAGAAAGGGAGAAAACACCCGAGCATATAATCTCCTCCGTTTACCGAGCTCTCCGCTCAGAATTGTTTTTTTTTCCGATCACGACGATTTCTCGTGTCGCTTTCGGCATGTATATCGAACGAAATATTGCAGCGACGTACCCGTCAGGTGAAGCGTGTACGAGGATTTTTTTTTTCGCCCCGAGTGTTTTTTTACCGGCTCGCGCCGTCCGCGAACCGCGGGGAAACTTTGCAGCGCGGAACGGTATAAAATCGTTCCGTTACGGCTCAATTTAGATCGGCATTCCAGATCGTAAAAAACCAATAGCGTAAAGTTATTCAAAAATACCGTAAGTATATATAATATAATAGTATTCCCTTCCCCTATTACATACAACTTTCAAAAACCCGTTTTCGACGCGAGCGCGCGCGCGCACACGCAAACGCACGCACACACACACACCGTTTGTGTCAACCGGTTTTCTCGTGAACCTCGGCGGCGGCGGCGGCGGCCACATCGATCGTGTACGCATACATTAAAAAAAAAAAAAAATCGCGGAACTCGTCGATACGTATGTCCGTAATCCGGCGGTCTTAATCTCCTAGGACAAACGGATCGGTAAATAATGATAATTATTGTCTAAAATCAGTAGTAATAACAATACCGTTCGCCTTGAGAGGACAGATACACGAAAAAGACTAGCGGCGGTAGTCGCGGTCGTATAAAACTGTTAAAATTTTACCGCGTCTAGTAAAGGCTAAAGAAATTCTGGCCTTTATTTCTGTACAAATTGCTGGTATCTTAGTTTTTTTTAAGTTTTTTTTTTTTTTTTCGAACTGCTAACGCATAAGACGAAATCGAAAATCATGAAAACCGGTCGTCGCTGTAAACGTTCCCGTTTTCCCAAGATTTTTGAAGAAAACCGCGAGCGAAAAACTACCTTTTTAGTGGTATACTGCCGAAAAGGCGGTGCTGCACTTTGCAAATCGGAACAATATTTCTGGCCGAAAATTCGTGTACAGACCGGGGGAAAAAATAACACATCGTACGCGAAACCAATACGTAATTCTTCGTTGCAGCGCTAATAGTCTTTAAAAAAAAAAAAAAATCCGTGGGAAAAACGCGGAGGCTTCTGTTTTTTTTGCGACAGACCGGGACATACAGATCGTATTTATAATAAGATTATACGCATACGTAAATTCTATGTACGGACTTTGTATAATTCCATTATAGCAAAAAAAAAAAATAAAAAATAAAAATAATCGAAAAAATCGTTGGCCTTGAAGACTGGAAAACGAGTGTCGTGTGTACCTATGTACGATTATAATATTATTATAGTTGCCAAATCAAAGCGCGGTGACCCGTAAAGAAAAAAAAAAGATCATCCATATAAAACGCGTTGCGTGCCAAACGACGGGATTATTCCCGAACACGTCATAACGTCGCCGTACAAAATGTACAGTGACGGAGACGAATTTGCACTTTTATTGCCGGCGAACTCCGGGGATTCGAATATTCACCGCAATACGGTCGCGTTTTCGTAAATTGTTTTGTTTTGTTTTTTTTTTGAAATTTTAGTCCGCGAAAGAATACGTAATTAATGTAGCCCACTCGCACGGCACCGTCCGATTTTACGTTCAACGCTTACCTAAGCTCGGGAAAAGTTTAAATATATTTTGAACCGGTTGAGGGCCCCGGGATGGTACAATGGTAAACTATCATTCGGCACGTATTTCGAAGTTTCAGTATGTCGTTTTTTCTATACATACACTCGACGGCTATTATATTATTGGCTCGTTTTTGACTTCCGGTCGCTTTTTTTCGCAAACGATTATCACAATATGTATAGCGCCCGGTAACGGTGCAGTTTTGTGTCTTGAAATGTCCATAACCAAAACGAGAATATTGAACGCGGGGGGAGTGGCTTGGGGAGAGGCAGTTTCCTCCCACCCGTTCAAAAAAAAAAAACCAGAAATTGTAATTTATGGAAATGTTATTTTTTTGATTTTCCTCGTATAGTTTTCTTAATGTTAACGGTTTAAAACTGACGATTTATGTCGATTTCCGAATTATTTCGATAACAATAGAAAAATACGGCCGACCGTACACGCAGCCCAGAATCGTTTTTCGTACGCAACGCGGGATCGTATGTCGTCACCGCGTATACAGAATTACTCCTAATACAATCCTTTCCGCGGACTACTTTCCTAATTTGCTTTTTAACGTTGA